TAGTGTCATCACAATCACAACGACCGTCAGTAGTGTCATCACAACAACCGTCAGTAGTGTCATCACAACAACCATCAGTAGTGTCATCACAACGACCGTCAGTAGTGTCATCACAACAACCGTCAGTAGTGTCATCACAACGACCATCAGTAGTGTCATCACAACAACCGTCAGTGGTGTCATCACAACAACCGTCAGTAGTGTCATCACAACAACCGTCAGTGGTGTCATCACAACAACCGTCAGTAGTGTCATCACAACAACCATCAGTAGTGTCATCCACACAATAATCAGTGGTGTCATCACAACAACCGTCAGTAGTGTCATCACAACGACCATCAGTAGTGTCATCATCACAACAACCGTCAGTAGTGTCATCACAACAACCGTCAGTGGTGTCATCACAACAACCGTCAGTAGTGTCATCACAACGACCGTCAGTAGTGTCATCACAACAACCGTCAGTAGTGTCATCACAACAACCGTCAGTAGTGTCATCCACAACAACCGTCAGTAGTGTCATCACAACGACCGTTAGTAGTGTCATCACAAAGCGACCATCAGTAGTGTCATCCACAACGACCGTCAGTAGTGTCATCACAACGACCGTTAGTAGTGTCATCACAACGACCATCAGTGGTGTCATCAAACGACCGTCAGTAGTGTCATCATCACAACGACCGTCAGTAGTGTCATCACAACAACCGTCAGTAGTGTCATCACAACAACCGTCAGTAGTGTTATCACAACGACCATCAGTAGTGTCATCACAACGACCGTCGGTAGCGTCATCACAACAACCGTCAGTAGTGTCATCACAACAACCATCAGTAGTGTCATCACACACAACCGTCAGTAGTGTCATCACAACGACCATCAGTAGTGTCATCACAACAACCGTCAGTAGTGTCATCACAACAACCGTCAGTAGTGTCATCACAACAACCGTCAGTAGTGTCATCACAACGACCATCAGTAGTGTCATCACAACAACCGTCAGTAGTGTCATCACAAACGACCGTCAGTAGTGTCATCACAACAACCGTCAGTAGTGTCATCACAACGACCATCAGTAGCGTCATCACAACAACCGTCAGTAGTATCATCACAACAACCGTCAGTAGTGTCATCACAACAACCGTCAGTAGTGTCATCCACAACAACGGTCAGTAGTGTCATCACAACGACCGTCAGTAGTGTCATCACAACGACCGTCAGTAGTGTCATCACAACAACCGTCAGTAGTGTCATCACAACGACCGTCAGTAGTGTCATCACAACAACCGTCGGTAGTGTCATCACAATCACAACGACCGTCAGTAGTGTCATCACAACAACCGTCAGTGGTGTCATCACAACAACCGTCAGTAGTGTCATCACGCAACAACCATCAGTAGTGTCATCACAACAACCGTCAGTGGTGTCATCACAACGACCGTCAGTAGTGTCATCACAACAACCGTCAGTAGTGTCATCACAACAACCGTCAGTAGTGTCATCACAACAACCGTCAGTAGTGTCATCACAACGACCATCAGTAGTGTCATCACAACAACCGTCAGTAGTGTCATCACAACGACCGTCAGTAGTGTCATCACAACAACCGTCAGTAGTGTCATCACAACGACCATCAGTAGTGTCATCACAACAACCGTCCAGTAGTATCATCACAACAACCGTCAGTAGTGTCATCACAACAACCGTCAGTAGTGTCATCACAACAACGGTCAGTAGTGTCATCACAACGACCGTCAGTAGTGTCATCACAACGACCGTCAGTAGTGTCATCACAACAACCGTCAGTAGTGTCATCACAACGACCGTCAGTAGTGTCATCACAACAACCGTCAGTAGTGTCATCACAATCCCACAACGACCGTCAGTAGTGTCATCACAACAACCGTCAGTAGTGTCATCACAACAACCGTCAGTAGTGTCATCACAACAACCATCAGTAGTGTCATCACAACAACCGTCAGTAGTGTCATCACAACGACCGTCAGTAGTGTCATCACAACAACCGCCAGTAGTGTCATCACAACGACCATCAGTAGTGTCATCACAACAACCGTCAGTAGTGTCATCACAACAACCGTCAGTAGTGTCATCCACAACAACCGTCAGTAGTGTCATCACAACAACCGTCAGTAGTGTCATCACAACGACCGTCAGTAGTGTCATCACAACGACCGTCAGTAGTGTCATCACAACAACCGTCAGTAGTGTCATCACAACGACCGTCAGTAGTGTCATCACAACAACCGTCAGTAGTGTCATCACAATCACAACGACCGTCAGTAGTGTCATCACAACAACCGTCAGTAGTGTCATCACAACAACCATCAGTAGTGTCATCACAACGACCGTCAGTAGTGTCATCACAACAACCGTCAGTAGTGTCATCACAACGACCATCAGTAGTGTCATCACAACAACCGTCAGTAGTGTCATCACAACAACCGTCAGTAGTGTCATCACAACAACCGTCAGTAGTGTCATCACAACAACCATCAGTAGTGTCATCACAACAACCATCAGTAGTGTCATCACAACAACCGTCAGTAGTGTCATCACAACGACCATCAGTAGTGTCATCACAACAACCGTCAGTAGTGTCATCACAACAACCGTCAGTAGTGTCATCACAACAACCGTCAGTAGTGTCATCACAACGACCGTCAGTAGTGTCATCACAACAACCGTCAGTAGTGTCATCACAACAACCGTCAGTAGTGTCATCACAACAACCGTCAGTAGTGTCATCACAACAACCGTCAGTAGTGTCATCACAACAACCGTTAGTAGTGTCATCACAACAACCATCAGTAGTGTCATCACAACAACCGTCAGTAGTGTCATCACAACAACCGTCAGTAGTGTCATCACAACGACCGTCAGTAGTGTCATCACAACGACCGTCAGTAGTGTCATCACAACGACCGTCAGTAGTGTCATCACAACGACCGTCAGTAGTGTCATCACAACAACCGTCAGTAGTGTCATCACACTGTACATTAACCTCTTCAGTTGTATGAACTCTAATATCCTTCATGTGTATGTTCTCCTGGTGTTTAATGTTTTGTATCACATGCTTGATAATTGTGTTAGCATCTCCACCGAAACATGGCATATACACCGAAACATGGCATCTACACCGAAACATGGCATATACACCGAAACATGACATCTCCACCGACACATTGCATCTACTCCGAAACATGGCATCTACACCGAAACATGGCATATACACCGAAACATGGCATCTATTGAAATAGAGAAGTTGTTCCGCTTCAGTACAAATGAGTTTTACAAAAGATTTTCGTTCAGCGATCTCAGCGTTACACATGTTGCCTGTGTTAATCTGTAGAAGTTACAATGGCCTTACATGCAGCCGTACGTGGATCTGCAGCTGTCTACATCACCTTCATGTGGCCGACTTAAATAATCCCGAGTGTGGCGAGTAATAATCTCAGTGTCATGAAAATCAGATCCCTTGTTCACCTCTTAACTGAGATCTGAGGACGGCCCACATTAGAGCAACCTTTCATCCAACCAATCAGACCGACGGAATAATGTCCGAATCCTGCTGGTGTTCAGCAGGGGGTTGTACTGCCATGGTGGGCAGTCACGTGGGTGTATACCTTCCTCACGAACACGCTCACTGATCTTTCCTGTGAGACTGGAAGTGAAAAGGTTTGTTTATACTTAATTCCCTTTACAATATTTTGTAGCTTCAGCTACCTTGATGGAAATGGAAATGGACGGTGTGACACGCTGGTGAAAGAAGCACACGAACACACACACGCAACACATCTACGCGCGCGCATGTGTGTAATTTTAACGTTATGAGACACTGTTGTGTAGCCATGTACTGAATGTCGATGTTATACGACACTGTTGTGTAGCCATGTACTGAATGTCGATGTTATACGACACTGTTGTGTAGCCATGTACTGAATGTCGATGTTATACGACACTGTTGTGTAGCCATGTACTGAATGTCGATGTTATACGACACTGTTGTGTAGCCATGTACTGAATGTCGATGTTATACGACACTTTTGTGTAGCCATGTACTGAATGTCGATGTTATACGACACTGTTGTGTAGCCATGTACTGAATGTCGATGTTATACGACACTGTTGTGTAGCCATGTACTGAATGTCGATGTTATACGACACTGACACTGTTGTGTTATACCATGTATGTTATACGACACTGTTGTACTGAATGTCGATGTTATACGACACTGTTGTGTAGCCATGTACTGAATGTCGATGTTATACGACACTGTTGTGTAGCCATGTACTGAATGTCGATGTTATACGACACTGTTGTGTTATACGACACTGTTGTGTATGTACTGAATGTCGATGTTATACGACACTGTTGTGTAGCCATGTACTGAATGTCGATGTTATACGACACTGTTGTGTAGCCATGTACTGAATGTCGATGTTATACGACACTTTGTTGTGTAGCCATGTACTGAATGTCGATGTTATACGACACTGTTGTGTAGCCATGTACTGAATGTCGATGTTATACGACACTGTTGTGTAGCCATGTACTGAATGTCGATGTTATACGACACTGTTGTGTAGCCATGTACTGAATGTCGATGTTATACGACACTGTTGTGTAGCCATGTACTGAATGTCGATGTGTCGATATACGACACTGTTGTGTAGCCATGTACTGAATGTCGATGTTATACGACACTGTTGTGTAGCCATGTACTGAATGTCGATGTTATACGACACTGTTGTGTAGCCATGTACTGAATGTCGATGTTATACGACACTGTTGTGTAGCCATGTACTGAATGTCGATGTTATACGACACTGTTGTGTAGCCATGTACTGAATGTCGATGTTATACGACACACTGTTGTGGAGATGTACTGAATGTCGATGTTATACCATGTACTGACTGTACTTAACTTGACTTTCAGATTTGCACACTTATTTGCATACAGACGAGATAGCCGCCATCACCGATGTCGCTGTCACGTCGCTGTGTTCTGTCTGTGTATGTTGTGCTCGGGCTGTTGATCATGACGTTGCAGCTTCGGTGGATGACCTTGACCTTTCTTCACAAACAACAACTGAAACACAGTTTGAACGAGTTTGAGTTTCCACAACGCGCACTTCCTTTACCACACAGTATGATAACAAGCTGTCAAAAGCTCATACAGGGTGATGAAGATGAGATTAACAGGACTAGCATCCTCAGTACCTCGGACCTTCACCTTCAGAAGGACCTAAACGTTCATATTGGTGAGTTGAGGTCATGCAGCAAGTATCTGCGGTCTAGGCGATTCATTAACCACGCAGTGAGATCGGAACTGGACTTTCCTATAGCTTATAGTATTTTAATATTCAAAGATTTCGATCAGTTTGTGTCTTTACTCGAGGCTATATGGCGCCCCCAGAATGTATACTGTGTTCACGTGGACGGGAAGAGCAGCCACATGTTCCACGTGGCCGTGAGGAGGCTGATGTCCTGCTTCACCAACGTCTTTATGGCGTCTAGAGCAGTGAGGGTGCAGTGGGGCACATTTACCGTCCTTCAACCTGAACTTGTGTGCATGAGGGACATGTGGAGGCTGCCAACAAAGTGGCGCTATTTCATAAATCTGACGGGTCAGGAGTTTCCGCTGAAGACAAACTACGAGCTGGTGGAAATCCTCCAAGCATATAACGGCACGAATGACATATTCGGGACCTCCAGAAGGTATGTAACCACCACGAGCGTCACTGTAACTATAAGCATCACTGTAACTATAAGCATCACTGAAACCACGAGCATCACTGAAACCACGAATATCACTTTAACCACGTCGTGCCCGATGTGTGTACTACTACTACTACTACTACTACTACTACTACTACTACTACTACAGCTGTTACAACTACTACTACTGCTACTACTACTACTACTACTACTGCTGCTACTACTACTACTGCTACTGCTACTGCAGCTAACCACCACTGCACTGCTAACTACTGCTGCCACTGCTACTACTACTGCAACACTGCTACTACTACAGCTGCTACAACCAATACTATTGCTACTACTACTGCACCGCTACTACTACTACTTCACTGCTACTACTCTACTTCACTTACTCACTGTGGACCACTAACACCACTGGGTTGCCACCACCACAACCACCACCACCACCACTACCACTACTCACTCTTAATAATTACTCACGGCCACTACCACCACCGCCACTGCTACTTCTACCACTTCTACCACTACCACCAAGGACTACCACTCACTACCACTACCAAGGACCACTACTCACCACGCCACTCACCACCACTACTCACCACTCTACTCTCTACCACTACCACCACAGCCGCTACCACTACTTCTACTGCCACTAGTCTACCACTGCCACTGCTACCACCACTGCCACTACAGCCGCCACAACCACCACTCATCAGTTTCCCACTACTCACCGTTTTCACTACCACCACCACGACCACCACTGCCACTTCTACTCACACTCCACCACTCACCACCACCACCGTGGACCACCACCGCACACTCTCTACCACCAATTACCACCGCCGCCACCACTGTCACTAATCCCACCACCACTCCAATTACCACTCACCACCATCACTACCACCACCACCACCGCTCCCAATCACCACCACACTACCACCACCACTAATCCCACCACTATTCTTCTGCTCACCAATTACCACCGCCACCAATCCCACCACCACTACTACCAATACTCACCACCACCACCACCACCGCCATTTCCACCACCACCACCACCACTCCAACCACCACCACCACCAACCACCACCACCACCGCCACCAATCCCACCACCACCACTCCTACCACCACCACTCAATTACCACCACCACCACCGCCAATCCCACCAATTACTTCCACCACCACTCACCACCACCGCCGGCCACTGCCACCACCACCATTCTCACTGACCTCCCACCACCACCACC